CAGAACAAACTTCATAAACTTCCGTTGTACTCTTTCAATAGCTGTGCTATAGCATTCATAGTAAGGGCTCCAAATAATAATACAATATTCGACTTTGGATCTAACATAAGCATAATATAATAGCTTAATAGACTTTATGTTATGAAAATTCCTGCAATTCCTTACTATGAAACCATAAGCCGCCACTGCTTCTGATGCTTTTTTATTTATATGCTGACTAAAAGTTAACTTTTGATCATAGATTATACCTAAATCACGTACATCAGAGCATCTTTCTAGCACAGACCCATCAATAGAGTACGGATATTCGCAAACATTAATTTTCCTGGTATAGCTGACTATTTTACACTTCCTCACATTAAGCTCCAACTTGTTTTCTACACACCAAGACAGCGCAAAATTTAATTGGTGTTGTAGCTTGATACAATCATCAGGAGTATTTATCTGCGAATAAATTATTAGGTCGTCATATCATCATATTAAAAACAGTAATGGTCCCAGGTTGGACCCCTGAGGAACTCCAGAAGGTGCCAAGTAGGTCTCAGCTTGGAAGCCATTATAGCTAACAAATTGTCTACGATCGGATAAGTAAGATCTCATCAACTCCCTAGCATCATCTGTGAAACCAAGTGCACCTAACTTATTTAATAAAGTTTTGTGGTTAATTTTATCGAAAGCCTTCGAAAAGTCGGTATAAATAACGTCAACTTGCTCATTACTATCAATGGCTTCCGAGAGGTACTGCGTTATTATAAATAGATTTGTGGTTGTTGAGCGATTAGCGACAAATCCGTGTTGATGCAATGACAGCTGACGCTGGACGGCAGTGTAAATGCGACTGTACAAGACTATTTCAAAGACTTTCGAGAACATGCATAAGATAGAGATTGTCCTGTAATTCTCAATATTTGACTTATCCCCACACTTAAACACTGGACAGACCTTAGCGATCTTCCAAATATCTGGAAATATTTTTGTTATAAGACAAATATTAAAAATCCTAGTTAGAACACCAACAAACACTTCCACACAATGTTTGACTATAAAGGACGGGATGCCATCTAGACCAGATGTCATCTTATCCTTTAGTGATTTAATGGCCTTCCTGACTTCATTTTCCTCAATTGGATGAAAATGGACAAATAAATTACTATGATTTAGTGAGGCATTATTATGGGGCTTGTGAGTGACATAGACGCTGCTGAAAAACTCACTGAATGCGTTTACTATATCCTGAGGCTGATCTATAGAATTATTTTGAAATTTCATTATCCCTGGGATTCGTGATGTGTTGTTTTTGGAGTGAACGTATGACCAAAAAGCATTGGGGTTAATTGTTAAAGAATTCTGGATATTTTCAATATATTGATCATACGCTGATTTAATCTGGTTTTTTATCAAGCGGCGCAAACGTTTGAATTCTTGTAGATCATCAACAAAAGCAGACCTGTTGTTTTTTCCTAAATTTAGCTTTAAGATGTTCTTAATAATAGCTGAGTGAAACCAAGGGGGTGACTGTAATTCTTATACAGAGGTATGTGCCTGTCAAAAATTTGGAAAATGTTGCCATAAAATACATCAACAATATAACTAATATCAGAAGAGCAGAATAAAACATCCCAGTCAAATTGAATTAGCTCTTGATACAGGTTGACAAAGTCAGCCTTTCTGTGGTTATAAGTTATTTTACTATGATTGAATGTAAACTTAGGCTCTTTAATATCTATATTGGTAATAAATTTGTTGCCGGAACGAAAATTATAATAAAATAAAGAGGTATGATGAAACCTGAACACAAAATTAAATTTTTACTGATGGTAATAAAATGAGTAGAGATAAATCATAGCAGATTTTCTGGAATAATTGAGGTTGGGTAATGTCAATTTATGACATATATATTTTTGGAATTGGAATTAAAAACTCGATTTATCTGCGTAAAATCCAATAAGGCGTCCATAAGAAAAATTGGAGTTAATGTCAGAGGATAAGAGACGAAACATCATATTGCAATTTATTTTAGCAACCCACTGCAAATAAAATCAGAAAAAAATTAAAACTATTTTGGGAAAATTCTTTTTTCTCTCTCCGAAAGTACTTTGACTTTCGAAACTTTCGCATTTTGTTAATTACCTCAATGCGCAACTTTGCCCCCTTCGTATCTCTTCCGGAATCCCAATGGTGAGAATCGAATTTGAAACACTTGGAAGAGAGAATTTTTTGGAACTACTTGATGATATGAATATAATACTGAGAAAAAAAGGTTTTTCGGAGCCAACCCCAGTGCTTCAAAAAGGGTGAAAAAGGTGAAAATAACTGGTAATAAATTGGAACCGAAAAGTTACTTGTCTTACTTTTCAGTCTTCTTTATGTGCCACGGCGGTAAAGCAATTTGATTAAATTTAATTTCTGGATGTAAAGTACACCTAACGCTACTATTATTATTTGAGACAAAACTGGACGTTATTTCAATTAGCTCTGGGAAAGATTCCTATCTGGGAGGGAAGGGGGTTGTTATCGGCGTTTCAAAACGGGGTGGCGGTCAGCGACTCTGCATGTTTGAAGTGCCGTCCCCGACTGGCCTGTTGTCGCGCTGTTTGGGGGAAAAAGGGACAATTTTGTTTTTGCCGGGGACACTGTGATGGAAATAAAAAAAAACATTTTTTAAATTTTTCGCA